ATAAAAGGCAGATCAACGGACGACCAGGGGGAGTCTAGACGAACACTGGAGGACAACCGGGTAGGAATCAAAATATGGCTCCTAGCATTAGACCTGGCGAATGCCTTCAACCAAGTGAAACATGAAACAATAGCCACTTCTCTGGCGCTGCTGGGACTGCCCAAATTTCTAACCAATAGAATGATAAACACGTGCCTAAGGGAGTATACTAGTGTAGGTACGTTTTCAGGTAGCAGGTAAATCGAAAGTCCCATATATTATTCCCTGCTACTCGGATGTTCGTCGTCGAACTCACAAAGGGGTTGATTGTTATACTGGATTGGATTATTTATTGCTTGTTTTGTCATTTAAGGGGGGGGGGGGATTTTGGGTACTCGATTCGGCGACCATTTAATTTGTTTCTGTGGTACCAGGTAACTATGTTTATTGGAACTATTATTGTCTTTTGAGGGTCTGGATACCATCCAGAGATCTCGACTGTATGGTTATTGTTGCTGTTGATTTTTTTTTTGTTAACTCAGATTCTATTATTTAGGTACTCTTGTTACTAATTACAATTATTTGGAGATTTGTAAATATTTATTAAAGAGAGCTAGTCAAGTTGTATGTGCTGTGTATACTTATTTAAGTTGAGTTAACAGTGAAAGGAGTAATTGCAGGTAGGGTCGTAGCGCCATAGGTAACTGCACTGTGTTCTGCTCCGGCTATTTGCCAAGTGGGCGTTGCAAATCCCGTTTCCTATCCCTAACGATTCCCTCCAATAAAAGAGATAATTGAATCATTCAGTTTCCTACTAAGAAAGGTGTTCCAATAATGCTGTAATCTACAGCGAACTTCCATTACATTTCTTTCCTTTCAGCAGTTAGCAACGTTGATCCAGTCGAAACATATTGCCGTCTTAAGAAATATGGCATCATCTCCAGTTATGCGATAATGCAGATTTCAGTAAATAATTTACTTAACTCATATCGTGCTCGAGGCTTAGTTGAAATCTAACCATACACGATATCCGGAGAATTTGCTTGGCTAAATGGCGTTTAAATATATATTTGGCCATCAATTTGAAATCGTTCTACTCAAATTTTATGAACGTGGCTATACGACTGAAGCATCCCACACCAAAGGTATAAAATTCTAAATTTGGTATACAATATCGAAAGCAGTTACACATTATTTTATAGTGGTTATAATCTTAGTTATAACACTTACTTTAGATTTATGTGTAACACCTTACAGTTTCAAGAACCGTACTAATCTCCATGGATATTTACGAGAGTCATTTGCTAATTTAATTACATTTATGCACCTTTATTTGATACAAGGTTTGGTTTGCACTTTGTAAGCATGTGTTAATGCATTACCTATCCACTTCGCATGCATCCATTATCATCTAGCGCAGGTGTTTCACGTGCGGAAGCCAAATATTGTAAAAGTACGCACCGTTCATTTCCATGAAAATGGCTTTCGGAAAAAATCCGAAACGTTCAAGATTTTCCACGTAGATATATTAAGGCGGACGTGACAGTATCTCGTCCGTTCGTAAAGTAGAAATAGAAATGGTAGCCGCTAATTTAATTAACTCATGTCTTTCAGGCGACCGTCTGAAGCTTTAAGACATCGTAATGGTAATGTCGGCCCTAACACACAGACACGTGCTTAAATGCACGTGAGTTGCTTGATTTACCTTATAAGAGCCTTACTATAAAAATTTCAACTTGATTTTTACGCGAATTGAATACAAAGTCGGCACGCTGCGCTTTTTGCAATTGACTCATTTTAGGTAAATCCCTAAAGTGGCTAATTTAATTAAAAGCGCCTTTTAAAAAAATTTCGTAGGATACACAAACAATTTATCTAATTCGTGTGTGGTCCATACTGTTGCCGTAATAAATGTTAGGATCTGTGTTGAAATCTAATCTTTTTGAAATTACACAACTAGCATCAATATTGATAGCTTGAAGCTCGTAAACCGTTACCGAAAAGGAGTAGTTTTTGGGTGGTTGAAGCGCCAATACGAAAACGTCCCAGATTGCTCAAAGCGCTCGCACAAAAAAAGAATATTGTACCTGTCTTTCCCACGAGCACGGGTCACCTATGTGGAATTGCCGTTAGAAATAACACAAACTTTCTTTCATACGACAATATTAGAATGCAAATAGTTTTAGTAGGTAATCAATTTGGGGTCAAGTAGGAGTGTTGTTCGTCATCGACAATAAATCACATTTTACCTTATTCAACTCCTATAACGTTAACATATTACCTTTTTTTAAATTTTACAAATTAATCAAGCCCATCTTTTACTATGGAGATCGTGTGAATTTTTCATTCTTCTCACGTGTAGGGGGCTACCTCCAAATTGGGAAGATATTTACAGGCGCCAACTATTGGTAAAAGTTGTTTTCGAGATCATTTTTAAAATTTATTGTGAAGAAAATCTTATGTAGGTCAATGTGGTGAGAAACAAATGCGTACAATTGGGTAGCCCTCTAAGTAATTTAATATCTGTGAACAAGATCAAACTTGTATGGCATTGGAAATGATTATCTTGAAGGACAAAGGACAGCGGTGTCACAAACGATGTTACCAGTTGACCGAGGAACTGAATGTTGCCCGAACCGAAAGGGCACAAACTCAGCTTTGCCACTGGAATATCTGCATTAGAGGGAGCTCTGTTTCCTGGTGATATCCTCTCCCCCGGTGATCCATTGATCCTTTGATCTCGTTTCTTATGTCTGTTTCTCTCTTCCTTACTGTTGTCCTCTCCCTGCCTCCCTTTCTGTCTCTTCTTCGTTCTCCTCTCGGCTGCTTGTGCTTATGTCTGATTCTTCCTCCATCTCCAGTACTCGTCTACTGTCTTTCTTAATTTTGTGTTTGTCTCTACTCCACCCTTAACGTCTTTTTGTGGTCGCCACCTTTTGGTCTATAGTGGTGTTCCATGTGAAGCAGGGTCGGCCTACATTCCATCCCGAGGCACGTATATTCTCGGCCACCTCCAGGATATGATCTTTGTTCCTCCTGTTTATATGCCCCCAACATCTCAGCTGCTTCCTGGTGATCGTCTTTCCTTCTAGTAATTCCCTTATCAGCTTGCGTTCTTGTGAAGTTGCTGTTTTCCATCCGTATCCTTAGTACCTTGAGTTCCGCCCTCCTCAATGTTTGTTATTCCTTGTTAGCACTGAGGTGTTACTCCGTATAAGATTGTCGGAGCTATGCTCGTGATGTACAGTAGCATTTTCAAGCTATCCGGCATTATCTTCCTTCGTATGTAACATGGCTATCTCCCTCCCGACTATTGTGATCTTCCCCCTTTTTGTATTGGGTGTTGCTTCCTGGGTCGCTTATAATCATGTAGATATTTTCATATTTTTTATTTGTAGGCCTGCCATTTTAAAGTTTGCTGGTTTGGACGAAGTCCTCAAGGTCTTCTATCTCCTCCGCGATTACGAGTAGGTTGTCCGCGTACCCCAATAGTGTCGGTGGTAGTTGTAATTGGCCATCTGTGCTGAAGTTCCTCACCACCTTTTTTTGCTCCATGACGTTATCCAGTGCTATCGCAAAGAGCTTTGGCGAGGGCGGACACCCTTCTTTGATTCCTCTGGTTTTCATTTGGTGCTCGGTCTTCTTCCCAAACCATTGCACCTACTTAGCAATCGTACGCAATACGAACTATTATACCTACCCGATCAGTTACACATAAATATTTACGATACCTGGTGATGCATCACGAAGAATTAATTGGCAGCCGACAGACCCACAGATCGACAGCATCAAAATTTTTGTCATTCGAAATCCTAGTGCTTCAAAACGTGTATTTCCGTAAAAAAAAGTGAGGGGTCATTTTACCCCAATATTGCAATACCTCCCTTACTAACGTGCGGGTGGTAAAAAGACAGTTTAGAGGGCCGCTCGTAAGGGATCTTGAAGTCGCCACTATATATGATCGGATTCTACTTTCGCTTTCGCAGTGCACTTTTTGTTAAGAAATTGTCAATGCCACCCAACTGACACATTCCGCCTTTGCCTTACTGAAATAATGTGCTCCTAATTCTTTTGGAAAATTATTGACGTAAAAAGACAGTTAGAATAACAAATTTTGAAAAACCCACTATCTAATCAGTTTGTTTGATACCCAGCTACTTTAACGAAATTCAATTCCAACCCCTTTCCGATTTGGACAAGAGCAAACCCTATTTTAATGGCGTTGTTACAAGAATCCAAGGGAAAAGTTTATAGAGGCCAATCATCCATTAGCAATTTTTTACTTGAGGGCCATTTATCTGGGGTTACCTCATTAGGCTCAAATTTTCCAAAACCGAATTTTTGGGAAACTTTTGAAAGCAAATATTTCCGGAGCAAATTATCCATCGATGATCTGTTTGATGCTTAGCTTTTGTGGAGGCCAGCATTCAGGGGGAGAATCTTCTGAGAACAACGATTCCTGGAGAATCTCCTCTTGGATGCGATGATACGGGATAAAGTTTTGAAGATTGATCTGGAGACTTAGTTTTTCTCGACGACGAATATCCGAGGCAACTTTTATCGTATTACGAACAGCAGAGCAGTTTTAAAGGAAAAACTGGTCCGTATAACAGCAAGGAAAAATGTTGGAACTTTGAACTTCCAGAATTTGTGAAGCTTCGCGGAATTCCCTCCAGAAATTTCAAGTTTTCAACTGCATATATTTCTTAAATTTATTAATTATTATTTGTGCTCATTTTGGGCGTCATTCTCATGTCTGGAGGTATGAAATCTTTAATCTGGAATTACAGCTCAATGCTTATCACCAACATTATCGATCGTTGTGCATTTTTCTCGTTCTGTGCTTGTTTGTGCGCTGTTGCATTTTTTTTGCTGTACTTAAAAATTAACGGATGTACGTAGTTCTCAATGTAGCTTTCAAATCTGCTTCCTAACACAATGAGTGGAACAAGAGAATTTTAGTTCTTTGGAATACAAAAGTAAACCCCTCTAAAAAATTCGAATCAATGGAATCCACCAACTTTATAAAGAAATTTTATTGTCGCATTTTAGCACATTTTTTGTTTAAGGATTAAGCTAAATGGCAGTACCGGTAACAGTCCTGAATGTAATCGATCTCTCTTTCATCGCATTGTTGTTCTCTAATGCACTCCAGAAAGGTGTACTCATCAGATAAACCTAAAGAAGTAGGTACTAGTTACTCATTTCGATATAAATTCAGCACAATACCTTGATCTATTAGCAGAATGAATGGTAGCAGTACAAGAACCAGAAAACGTAACATTTGAAGGTTTATATCTCGGAACGAATATGAACTCTTACTAAACTATAAAAGAACAACAACAGACCAGTAAAAATTGTTTTTGATATGTACAATAGACAAGTGCATTGTGCATTATGATAAGGTCGTTGGTATGCAATGACTAAAAATAGAAAGTTTTATCAAATGATATCCAGAGTACTAATTATGGTTTCATCAATCATCAATGTATGAACTACAAGAAACGGATCAGGGTTTACTTACACCGAGAGTTACACTAAAATGTTATAGGTATACAAATACATTGAGATCAATTTGTTTCTTCCCCATTATCATCTTTTATTACAAACAATGAAAGATTAAGGCCGAATGATAGAATTTCCATCCAATAATTTGTGTATAAGCTGTATTTTGCTCTATTCTAGAGAAACAAAAGACGAAAAGAGAGCCTGGAGTATCAAATTGTATGTGCGCAGATCAGGTTGTGAATGAGCACTGTTCCCCTTTTTTTCTAAAGTTGCATTCCAGCATTTTTTAAATAGTTGACTGATCTTTGACTTTATTGTCTCACAGTCTCAGAGTCACAAAAAGTAAGAAGGTGAAAATAGGACATAAGATTCAAACAATCTCTATAGTTTTCAAGATCTTCTTGCAAATCTTTGAAATCATCCTAGAAATTTTCTCGACATTTTTATACACTATTTCTGAAAGATCTGCTTGGAAATCTTAGTAATATACGTTGGTAGAAATTTCAGGTAGAAAGAATGTTTGTGTAAATCGAAAAAAAAAGGAAAAAGTTAAGTTTCAGAAGCATCTTCACCCAGCGTTTGTGCCATGTTCGGTTTAAAGAGTAGCGCAGGCGACGGGATATTAAGGCTTATGACGGTAAATAGAAGTTTCTGTTAAATTTATCTTGTTTCAATCGCACGCATGTATGTGGTATTTGTCATCTGGCCCTGAGTGGCGATTTTTACGTCAGTTTTGTTGATTGATTTTGTCAAATAAATGTTGTCGTCTCTAAATTACTAGCTTTGTGTTTACTCGAGCCGAAATTACGTCCCAGGTTATAATATAAGAGTTTCTCATGATGCCCAGGATTGCGTCAGGTATTAATTACAAATTTGTTAAATGATTCTTTGGGAGTGATCAAGACTTCTGAGTTTTTTAAATTAATAAAAGCTAAGACAATATTGAGATTTTTCGTGGTAGATTATACCGGACTTGTAAAAGTGTTTTGTTAGTACCCGAGTTTAATTGAGCTATCTGGACAAATGTCTACGTGGGCGGTTTAGTGACCATTTGCCATTGCACATAGCAATATACTTGCAAACTATTAGGAGTATGAGAAATATTCTGAAAAAGCACTTTTTCCAAAAAAATTTGTTGAAACAATCCAAAGACGATGTTGCAAAGATATCGGGGTTTCCTAAAATAGAAGTCATTCTAGGAAATTATAATAGAATGGACTTTCTATACCATCTTCTCCCTTATCTTTTGTGCACAAGGTTTATTAGTCGTGTTTTTATGATCTCCTTTAGAGAGCGTATTGGTTAGGTTGGTTTTTCACATTTTGTTGTCGGAATTCTTTTAGAGTGTACCCTTGGAGGTCTCCCTTGGCGGTTGCCTCTTAATACATTACACTGGGCGTCCTTTTTTCTCGGGTATCGATGTTTGTTAAATGGAGTCAACGTTGCTAATTGCTTCATGGATAAATTGTATAAGAAAAGCAAGAAATTTAATAGAAATTGGTAGTGGCTTTAACTGCAGACTGTGGACAGAATACCTTTTTTAAATAGAAAACTGACTGATTCAATCATCTCTTTTATTTTTAATCGCCCATTTTTACCACTAAACAATTTTTAAAAAGTTAAAAACCTTGTTTTATTGCACCATCCGGAAACAAAACAGTGTTGACGTTAATTAGTGCGAGAATATTTATTCAGCAATCAAACAAACATTGTTTTTAATTACAAAAAATTAGTTTAGTTTAACATAGGTACGTAAAATCACTCGAGACATTCGGCGAAACACGCCTTCAGATCCTCATCATCGTCCTTGAGATAACACTTCTTCCCATTTACGCAAGCTGTGTACACTTCAGGTGATGATAATGATGAACCTGTAAACACAGCTTTAGGAAAGATGTTATGCGTTGTCAGATTTTAAACAACAAACCCATTAAGGTAATAAAATTATTGTCGAGGTACTTCGACGATAAATTAAAGTGTATACATACCCACGTTTACCAACATAAACAGAACGGCTAATAATACAATAAGGAATCTCAACATTTTTCTGGTATTAATTGTGAAACTGTTACTGGAACCACGACTATTGAAACCTTTTATACCTCGCTGTCCAAAACAGAATTAATCTGCAGCAAAATAACATAGCGATAATGAATAAGTTTTTGAGATAGTTCGCTAATTTGTGGTCAAATTGATTTGTACAGGGTTCCGTAAATATTTGTCACAGTTAAATCAAAATTAAAATTCCTTTTTTTGCTAATAAATTGACTGAATTTCTTCCATTAAGAACAATTATGTGCAAAATTTTATGTCTTATAAGAGGATCAGTCATTGGAAGAGTTTGCTGGGTTGAATTTCACTTCAGCGGAACAGCATATCAATTTTCGCGATGGCTGAAAGATCATCCTCCTCTTTTTGAAAACTCAGAAATCATATCCATCGCAACGAGGGAGGTGAAAGTGAAGAATACTGACACTGCGGTTGAGCCTCTTCTCATTTTTCTACGGATCATTAAAGAAAGTGATGGGGGTATTGCCGAAAGCTTCAGCTACGATTCAACTCCGTATCCAATATAGCTCTTTGATGACTGGCATAAGTAACACGACAACATCCCCTTTCTATGACGTTTTTACTCCTTCGGACGATGACAATTGCTTTGCGTCAATGTACGGTTGTTGTAGATGAAGGATTCTTACTACATCGAGTACAGTGGAGCGACTGCACGACTTAATCTGGCGTACAAGAGCATTACATCGGTTACATCAGCAGACATGGGAAAAACTCCACCATCGTATTTGGCGGATATGATAAAGTGTCCACACGCACTAAAAATGCTGGCGAGCGCAGGCGAGCCAGGCTGAAGCACGCTGTTGATGTCAGTTAAGGATAACCTCCTCGTCACCCTGTAAACAAAATGTTTTCTGAACAAATGTCAGTAATAAAGTAAGATTAATTGCTGCCCTCATCCCAAAACTCCTGCACAGTGAGATTGGGGCTTTCAGGAGTAATGGGCACGCCATACAAAAGGTAGCTGAAAGTGACCAAGTTGTTGTGGTGGGGGAAGACGTGGACTTGCTGGTTTTGCTAGTTGGAATGGCTCTGGACTACACAAATATTCATTTTTACAATCAGTTTACATGCTGCATACGACCAAGAAAAAATTGAAATAATTAAAATAGTTCACAAAAAGCTTGAGCTTTTACAAATTTCACCACTGTTTTACAACCCAACCACCACATCAAAGGTCCTGTCTGAAGGTGGTAAAACATTATTTTTGAAATTGTCTGCGCTGCCCCCACCGTGTAGTCAATAAACGCCCCCTAAAACTAATGCCGTTGGAAATAAACGTTTCTTTCCATAATGCTCTATGTTGGCCATGTTTCCAATTTATCTGCTTGGTTTAACCAAATTAGTGGATGCTGTGGTTCTCACTTGAGATCCGCTGTATCTTCTATAACCGATCCTGTAATCTAAAAGAGGGGAAATGTATTTTACGAAAGTGAATAAACTATGGGAAACCCTAACTATTTATTTATTTAAATAATTTGAGCTGCCATGGGAAACCCTAACTATCGATTGAATATGTTCATTTCCCAGGTCCAGTATTAAAGGTAGTTTTACGCCTTGGTTTTTTAGGACCGCTTTACAAACTGGGTAGAAATAAAGTCGTTAAAACGCTCCTACAAGCGCAGGTGGTAATTAGATTGTAAAGACATAATCATTTATAAGTATGGACGCTCAATCCATAACCAGGTTATTCGAAACCGTCTTACGAGAATGGGGAATCAAACACCAGCTTACGCCACCCTATCCACCGCTGGCAAATCCTGTAGAAAGGGATAATGATTGCCCAAAGAGCAAAGAAAAACGCGAAAAATTGGTATGAGAGGTCGCATTTGCAATAAATACAGTAAAACACCAGTCCACTCAATTTAATACCGGTCTTTCTCAATTTTGGGAGAGAGATATTGAAGACGGGAATGCTGACCAGAGAAATGAAAGAATAAGAAAATAGAGAAGCACTGAGAGAAGAAGATCGATCGTCAATTGGAAAAATTAGAAGATATGAGACACCTAGCCAGGCTTTTCAATTACAAAAGCATTATTATGACCTACGGAGGAGACCGGACTCACAGTAGGAGATACCGTCACACTTGAATAAATGAAGAGGAATCACAACAAAAATAACACCAAAATTTTATGGTCTTCACAAGATCCACAAGGTAATTTCTAATAGATTGTCCTAATCTCATGAAAAAAATTATTATTATTGTTATGGCTCCGGTAAAACGTTCACAGTTAAGTCGCAAAGATTAATCAGTGGGTGAAAAATGAAGAATGCGAAAGGAAAAGGAAGTGTTTCGCCTACGTGACAAAAAGAAAACCGGCTGATGGCGATGGAACGAGAAAGGACTTATGTGGAAATCCATGCGAGGTTTTGCCAGGTTCTAGTGTTGGCGCCCCGAAGATTTTTAAAAGCATGTCAGGGCTGAAGTAACCGACACACCGTCACCAATGGTTAATTGGACACAGTTATCTATCTCAGAAGAGGATCTGCAAAGAGCCTGTATGGAGGTGGGCCAATAGAAGCAGAAGAAAAAGAAGTTAGTGTTTCGGATCCAGAGCAAAAGCTTCAGAGAACCTGTATGGAAGTGGGGCTGATCGAATTAGAAGAAAGCGAAGTTGTTGTCCACCAGTATCCAGGAGGGTGTGGAATTGCCAAGCAGCCAGAACACAAATTTCTCAGGGACAAGGCAACTCTCGCTTATCCTAACGCCAACACAGAAGCGCCTGTATTCACTCGCAAACAAAAGAGACATCGAATACGAATTGGGGACAAGAGA